AAGAGAGGCATGCAAATCGTGACCTTTGACCATTCGCCACGGTCAGGTGCTTGACCTGAGATTGCCAAAAAGTGGCTTCAAGGCCCTCCCTTGGGGTCCTCTACAATAATTATAAGCTAGAATTTGATTCTAGGGGGGTCGATTTTCATCTTCCCTTAGTACCTTAAGAAAACGGTTGAATCGCTTAAATGTATTTCAATAGAGAAAATCATAGCCTTGGGGGTTTTCAAGGAGCAAGCTAAAGAATTTCAAGTATTATGGTTCGTTTAAGTCAAAACGTTTCTATTTACCATTCCGTGACATCTCATATTCTCATCCACTTCCACTCTCTTCCTTTGCAGATGAACTGAAGGAGCGCAGGTACCGCAAATGGAAGTGATAAGAGTGAATCGATCGGAACCTACTAATGATTCTATCATATGTCCTTTTTTCAGAGAGATGGATACCCAATATGAGTAGGCCTATACTCTTGCCAAAAACTGTTGGCGAGATTATTAGTTCATTAAAAATTATCAATCACTACATGAGAATAATTTATTTTCCATTGGAACATATGATGGGAAATCGTCGATATTTTCAAAATTATTCTTGCTCAGGAGATCCTTGTTTCCATTTTTTCAGGGTATGTATGTAATATTAACTGAGTGGGGAAACAAATTCCAGACACCCACTTCTCATTTCTGACATCACCGCTTCTCAATAATTAAATATAATTAAGAATTCCCGGTCCCGTGATTGGAAATCCTATCTTAGTAAAAGGGACCCAATATTACATTTTTCCTGGTAAGATTATTTTTTTCAAAGAATCCTTTCAGCAATATACGTTACACTGTCAAAATAAAAAGTACTTCTCCAGCCTTCATTGAAAAAAGTAATGATGTAAGAAGGACTCCTATGATACATCCTCCCATTTCCTGAATAAGAATTAAGATGGACTCGGAAACGGTCATGTAACTGCAACTACTGACAGGCAAAAATGCTGCAGCCGGAGGAAACGAAGAGTTATGTTGCCGTGGAATTAGTCACCATGATCTTCAAAGCCAACCACAACCATAAGTACTGGTATCATTTAACCAGGTATTACCATTGGCGCGGGGAAATGTGAAAGGGGCATGTTTCCTACACAGGCGAAGTAAAATAATTATGTAAAATCCGAGAACCAAATAACGCAGCGGCTAGCAGTCCAGTGTCATTCATCGAAGTTCGTCTCGCCTGTCGTTCCAGGTGACTATCCAGCCCGTAAGTCGATCATGGTGTTCACGATGCAATAACAAAAATAATATTACATTTTTACATGGAATTGCAGCTTGAAAGCAGCATACTGCGCATAACGCAAGTTTTGCGTTACGCGCACAGATACGAGACGGAAAGCAAGAAAAAGGAACTTTCCAAATCACTCAAAAGTCACGATCAGCAAATCACCTTTGCGACTACTGACTCCCGTCTCCCATATCAAATACGTTTACTGATTTCTTCCTATTTCCCTACGAGAATGATTTTGGAAAGCAATACTCCAATTTTCAGAACCGATATAGATTGTCGGTCACGAATCGGCTCTCATTCCTCGCAACACCTCACAAATCGTAGGTTGACTCAGAAGCACAACGGCTGCCCCTAAAACCAAGATTCTATCGTCTTAAGCTGTCGTTTGGAAGATGGCGTTGCAAAGATAATATTATTTCTCAAAAGCACGTACACTGAATATTTATGTCATAACCCGGGATCAAACCTCGTATAACTTGGCCCGTAGGAGCGTCGCGCACACACACACACACACACGTTTGCCAGTGCGACGTGAATAACTGACGGCAGGGAAGGTTGGACGGCATAAGAGGACGAAAGAAAGCCAGGGGACGGCCGGGTATTGAACCTGGGCCTCCTGATTGCCGGTCAGGTGTGCTACCATTCAGGTGTGCTACTTCAATGCCATCCTTATCATCACACAAGCACAAATTTGTTCTAGCTACCTAGCTAACGGCCAGGATGTCCCACGCAATCTCATGTCTCTTCTTGACTCCTCCTTCGTCTCCCTTGCCTTGCCAAGTCCTGCAAGATGAAACCATTCATATACTGTACTTCAACTCCTACGAGTTTAGAATAACGATCTCAAGCTCATACTCTGTTGAAGACAGGGATAAGAGCGAGCAGCACCAAGCCGTGCATTTCTTCAATTTCGGTGTATTTAAGAGTGCCAAGAATTGGGATACTCTGGTGTTCAGGCAGACGATGGACGGTAAAGGACGAAATTCCTGTCTTGTGACTGTGCAAGCATGTGATTGGATACGATCAATTTAAGTCTGCGGAACGTGCGGAACAATGCGCCAAGTAGGAGTTGAAGTCTATGCATATAATATGATAATTGTACAAGCTCCTTCCCTTCCGCCACGAGAATCTCATTCACATCTACTTCATTTGGCTTCCATATGAAATATGCTCATGGAAGGTCATAGGCGTGCAGCTGCTCCGGACTTTTATTTAGGAGCTATTAGCATAGCTGGTACTACCTGAGTAATCTCTGAAGGTGTCGAGCCAGTTGAATACAAGAAAAATAGGCTCAACTTTAAACAGGTTGCTGCAAGACGGTATTTCACGTATCATTGCCGTAACTTCAGGATTCGATTAGCGTTCATACAGCTTAAAGATTACTCTGACAATAGGTGTGACCAAGCGCTCGTATGCGAAGGTATTCAGTTTATTAGTAAATCAAAGAATGTCAGAATTAGCATCCTTCCTCCTTCAGATTTCTTAAAAGCTACTCCATGCAGAAGGGGATATGAATTCAAGTTATTCTCCCAGGGAAACGGTATGGTACCTCTCATACAAGGGTCTTTTCTTCAAGAATTTTATCAGGTTCTACCTCTGGAAGGGCCAGGTTGAGAGAGCCTCATAACAATCGCTTCGTTGCACCTACCTTCCTCTACGTTCTAGCTTTCTGGCTAATTTGGATGAATTTGTGGCGGCGAAATTCTTTTTCGCAGTCCTCCTTGTATTCCTCAGATACATCATTTGGCAAGCCTCTTCGTGAAATTTCCATGAGTTCCCTCTCTGCGGCTTCGTCATCTTCATCACTAGGTTCCATGTCGAGCCGAATGAGACAAGAAGTGCTTCTCGATGCTCCCAAGTAAATATTTCCCCTTCTCTTCGGTTTCTCGCTGGTGATCAAGAACACAATTGGGGCCTCCATGCCCTTGAAGGCTGTAGCATTCTCAACGATGACGCTTGCACAGTCAGTAGAAGCTCTGAGTTTCTCTGTTAATTCATTCCTCAGCCGTTCTCCGTGGACGAGGAAATCCCCTTTCTCGGCGAAGATTACTGCGATGTCCCCGCTCTGGGTCTCCAACCCGAACTTCTCTCTCATGATTTCCACGATCTTCACGGATAGAAGTGAGCTAGGAACGTCAAACTTCTCCACCTCGGGGCCCCTGAGATCGTGCCCCGATTGTATATTTTCCCTCTTGTAGTTTGGATCTAATTCGGGTGAGTTTAATTCGTAGTCTATCTCGGAAGAGAGATTGTCCGAATTCCAGACATTAAAAACGGACACAGGGTTCCGATAGACTGTGAGTAACGAATGAGCCTCTTCCAACTCCATTTTTAAAAAATCCGGAATAAAAGGAAGGCAAAGGGGGTCATATGCCTGCCAGAAGTATCCTCCAGTTCCGTCCTGCAGTGATCGGAGCGAGGTGCGCCAGTGGTCACCGTATTCGCGCCGTAAGTCTTCCGCCTCGTCGACGAATATGTGTCGAAATGGGGGTTTTCTGGTCTTCAAGATCTTGTCCATGTCTTTCAGTGCGACATTTTTAACGGTTTCAGGCAGTTCTGGGAAAAGGAGCCAGCATTCGGAGAGCCGAAGAAATATTCCCGCAATCGACCTAGTCGTGCATCCTTCATGCAACAGCTGGTATATGTTTCCTGCCTTAAATGTCATTTCTTTGATGCTTGCCTCCAAGAACCTAAAAGCTCCCATCGAAGGAGTGAAGGACTGAAAGAGACGGCGGATAATCACGGCTTTAAGTGGCCATCTTCCCACCTTATAATCAGGCCAGAGAGAAGCCACGGAGCTCTTCAGAATATTGTAAAAAATGAACGTTTCCCAACTTGCACACCTCATCCTCTTTGTGAGCTTCTCAAACCGTAATTCCTCGTTTTCTCCTGGCTTGTCCTCACCGGTTGCCACTTTCTCGTTTGCACTATTCCCCTTCCTCGCCGTTTCTGATCCATTGCTCAAACAGCAGATCATGAGATTGTCTCGTATTATATTCCTCACCGTCTTTTTCTCAGTCTCTTCCTGTCCTTTCTGGATCCATCTCTTAAGCGCAGCCATGGCGGACGTGAGGAGAAGATCGGGAAGAGTCTCACAAAAGTGCTCAGCCAGGAGTTCCTGATGACAGACGACAAGAATCTTCTCATCCCTGTCTGGGATAGGTCCATTGGAAAACCAGGACATGAAGATGTTCCGGATCTTTTCCTGCAGCAGCCATGTCTTTCCCGTCCCCGCCGCTCCTTTCAAGATCATGTCCTTCGGTCCATTCACCAACAGGTCTAGTTTGTCTTCGGTGAGGAAATTGAGCTCCTGTGTTGTCATTCGGGCTTTGAAGGCCGGAGTCACGTACACAGGGGCGATGTATCTGCAAAAGGTCACATCAATTTTCATGCCCCTTTTGGGAGAAAAGCATTAAAAAATTTCCAGGGATATTCAACCTGGAATAGGTAAGGCAATTGGATTTCCAATCAGGAGTATGTAATCCTCACTTGCATGAATGAATAAACTGAGGAAACTTAATTGGTTCATTGGTTGAAGCTGTAATAAGCAGCATTACCCGTATATTTAGCAGCAAGTAGGTAACGTTGAAAATTTGATGTCCACTGGAGTGGACAGAACGCGCCACAAATTATGAGGCATGTGTATCATGATTAAAAAACCGAAGAAGCTTAGCTGTCTCTTGCAGAAAATGTGATGCAGGAGGGGTTTAAGGCGAAGGTGGACTCAAAAAGAATCAGAATGGAATTGGAGCTTTATTGTTCTACTCCTTACACTCTTAGAGAAAGGGGAGCGATTTTTCTCAAAAAAGAGAGTAAAATAGCTAACTCCAGATTCACCACCCTTTCACTCTGGGAAAGGAGCGAATTTGCTCCACTACCAAGGAGTAAAATTGTCCTCCTCCTCCGTGAGTAAGAACGGTCCCTTCAGAAAGTGATAGGGATGCCATGCAAATACGAAAGTTCTCGTTTACCGTGTACCGTTTATTTCTCGTACAGGCGTTGACCTACCTCTGCCTGTAATGAATACAGCACACGCCAGAGGGTGGACCACCTCTTATAGGTTCCGTAGAGTATCCGAGATATCAGTTCCTTATTACCTCATTTACTTTAGGTGTAATTGAACGAAGTTCACGGATACTCTGTATATTCTAGATCTTCTATATGGATTACATCTTACGTGTTCCAAAAGGGTTCTCAATAGGAATATGAGCTTGTTTATGGCCTGGACTTCATGAATATTTCTTGAATATGTGGAAAACAAATGATGAAGTGTCCGTGTTTATTGATTCCTATAATGAGACTAGGCGAGACAGATGGCAAGGTACTAAACAATCCTGCGAGTGACGATTCCAGGGAAAGAGAGAAGGGAACTTATGTGTTTTGTGCGAAAAGCGAGACCCTTACCTCCATCTAGTGGCCTGGAGAAGACCTTCAAGGTGTTCACTTCGATACGAGTGATGATGGAGCATTTGGTGAGTAATAAGAGAGTAAATTCGAAAAGCTCAAGGTGTGCCCACTTTTTACTCCCCAAACGCTCGGAATTTTCTAAGAGTGTACACGAGCAAAGAGTTTCCTTTGCGAGAAGATACCTTTCAATAGACGATTCCTTTATCCATTGTTTCCTAAAGTGATGCAACAAGAATCTTCAAAAGATATCTCTAATAAAACTTACATCGCCAGAAGTTTCAGATAAGTCTTGGAGTCGATGGGAGAGTTTCTCAGCTTGTGGAGGATGTTCTCCTCCCACCATTTCTTGAGGGACTCATTTGTCATTAGATCATCTTCACAAATGAAGACGGTGGGTACAGGCAAGTCTTCGAGTGGTCGTCTTTCAACTTGAGCCTTTTTCACATTGGGTAGAGCAATTACACAAAGAGACACGCTTATAACTTCTGAACTGCTTTCTTTCATGTCTTTCATCAAGTTTTGTCTTGTTACTTCCAGGCTGAGAACATCATTCTTGACCTGCTCTTTGGCTTTGTTGATGTCTTCCTGAAGTGCCCTCATTTTATTTATATTCTTAACTTGAATGAAGATCGCTCCCAGGTCACGATGTATGAGCATTATATCATGCTTTCCCGTTAATATATCCTCAATGCCACCACCCTCGTTCCTTGATTCGATGAGATGGAAAAACTTACGATTATATGTGATGAACATAGCCATCTTGTTTTCTTGTCCGAAGTGATACAAGTCAAGAATGAGCTTTCTCTCTGCCTTTTCTCCTTTTGTCTTAGCCTCATTCACCCAGTCATCTATGCGTTGAATGGGAGGAACTAGGCGGGTTATTTGCTCAGTTTCCCAATGGCAATAAGACCTCTTGATGTGTTCTTGAGCTTGATCAAGCCAAGTGGATTCTTTTGCTGGTTCACTTTTAATGGTTTTGCCGCCAACTGAAACAATAGATCAAGATTTTAAACTCTGAATTGCTTTACCGCTCTAAAGTAGATGTTACATTTACCTCACGCTAAGGACCAGTTCCATGATGGTGTCTAAGTGAATGTCAAGGTTGTCTTAATTTATTTATCCATCTTTCTTACGACGATTGTTGAAGCCTGGCGCAAAAATTACTTATTTCAAGCAAGAGCTGCAAAACTTCCTCAACATGGCATACAAATGACATCCTGAAATTCATTTGCCCAAAGCCGTAATATCGGATGAGGGATATGCATTGTCAGCACTAGTTCAATAGTTCAATGGTAGGGAAATGCGTACCATCTCCCTTTCTGAACCTAAAGTGCAGGCTTGTTTACTAGAGTTTTCAAGTCGTCGAATCAAATGGCAGATACAAGCCCTAAATTGCCTGTCCTATTTAAATGTACTTCTTGTACGGTATTTTTGTGATGAACTGGAATGTGCATTAAAGAGACGCAGGCTTAGCAACACAGATCCATTTTGAAAATCAGGGACAGAAGCATTGCCCGTAATTTTTGTAGGTATTTGAAGCGCTCTGGGAGGTTGCGCATTTGAAGTTAAACTCATTGGACGGTTTTATGGAAGTGAGTTAGAGAAGACAGCAGCAGTACTTGCATTTTCTTTTCCAACTTTGACTATCAAATTGCATTTTCCTTAGGCCACAACAATGAAGACTTTAAGATTGAAAGCGGTTTTCTCAATATTTTAGGTGATGAATCCGGTATGCCAACGCCCAATACAAGTACTGAATGATCCAGCTCTCCCTCAGCGACTCTTAAAAATATAGCGAAATGCTCCCTATTCCGTGCATTCTTGCATTAATAATTTTTTTTTGGCCTCCGCTTCCAAAAAGTCATTTATGAACTGAAAGTCACTTGTGATACCAGTAATTCGTAACAACACACAGCTTCCTGTCGAACAAAAATGTGCTTTTTTTGTTCACATTTCCCTAGTCGCCCAGGTAGAAGGGGAATTGTGACGTATTTCAACACAAGTATCTTCATAAGAGTCACATGCCATGACAAACACCCGTCATGTTACGTGCTGATAAACATGGAAAGCTGAAACGTGAAATGGACATACTGAAACTCTGAGTTCAGGAAAAATTTCAAGCTGCGGATGCATGCCCTGGGGGCATGTTTCTTTTGAAAAGTGCTTTTTCTAGGAACTTTTCTGATTCAATGAAGGAAATAACTAAAGTTGAAACTTTCGGAAATACCTGTTCGATTGCTGAGTACATGTCCTACTTGTCAAATATGAACATCAGGGCATATTATGAATAGATTTGAAGTTAGGCACAAAGAAACAATGTGAGTAATTATTCGATGAAAATATCGGTTTGTTCTCTCTCGATACATATTCCGATGGGCATATACTATTAATAGGTTTAGCCACTTTGAAAATAAATTACTGAATGAATTATTATCCTGGTAATGGAGCGCCGAAGGCGCGACAATAGCTCAATATATAGAAAATATATAGCTATTAGAAAATAAAGTCTCGTTATTTTATTGTCAGACCTCGTGCACTATAGTATACATGGTGGAACACCCATGAACTTCGTTTATATTTACCTATTTTCGAATAAGCTATGAGAAAAGTCCCTATTGCTAATTCAATAATTGACGAACGAGTCTAGCAATAATGGAAATCATTCTAAGTTAGACGAGGAATAATTGCCACGATCTTTCTATGAAGGAGGTTGTTTTGAAAGTTGTCACGAAGAAAAACTAAAATTGTATTTTGCTTATACGAATCTAGTTACACTATGTGGTAACGGCGAAAGTCTAACCTTTACGGGAATTTTCGGCGCTGAGTTGTGCATACAAGTGTCCTTCGATTCTGTCTTCGGAGCTAAAGAGCCAAAAGTGTCCATCTGCATGGCTCAGATGAAGGTCACGAAGGTTTTTCAAGCACTGGTCATTGTGATTCCGGCAGAGTTCATTTACCCCTAAGACAAAAATGTAATCGAATTTCTTCCCATCCTTCTGTATTTTTTGCAGACCACAGGGGGGACTCATAGCTTCTTTAGTAGCGTCTCTGCTTTCTTCGCTGCTCCTTTCAACATCGCAGTGTGAGACTGCTAGCCCCAGAGATGCACGCATTTGCATTTCTTCAAAGAGGGTGGTCAGCTGTTCCATCAGCGAGAGACCTAGCAGCTCTTCTTTCAATTCTTTTCCTTCATTTTCATCATTTCGTTCGTTTTGATTCTGTTCAGTCTTCATACGACTTCCTGCTGCTCTTAGGTTGTCAACATGCTTGGAATTAAAAAAGTCCACAATGAAGAAATGAAGCAGTTTCATATCTCGACTTAGTCGCAAGAACTCATTCAATTGTGTGCGCTCTTCAGCGTTCAAAAATTCACCCCCAGATCGGAGTCTCGTCTTGATGTCGTATTCGAGGCGCCAGACACGCGATTTCCTCATCATCATCTGCCTCATCAAGAACGGGTTTAATGGTGAGTACTCCTCGGATTGGTTTTCGGGGTCCTCCATCCCATTCCTAAAGTTATTTTCAATGTGGCACTCTTGGTCAGTGGATTCCTTCGTTTTCGGTACTTCTATTTTAGGAACATATTGCTCAGCATTGTTGTCTTCCCAACTGTCTCCCCCTGCCTCGTTATCCCACTTGTGTGCCTTCCGGTCAACGAAAGAGATTGCATCTATGAAGCCGGAATAAATAATTTCCTTCAGACTTTTGAGCAATACCTTCATCTCAGAGGACTCTTCACTAGGTGACAATATTCTCGATGATTGTGCGTTGCATCTATGAAAGTTCTCTGCGTCATTTCGATTGTCACTTTTGGGTGAAGAGCTACCCTGAGTGAATGAAAGAGAGAATGTGCTAAAAGCAAGGCTTGCCGTAATTACGCTTTGAACCATTTCTTTTTGTTCCTCTGGAGACTTAGTGGTCCACGTAGAATAAGCAAGCATTGCAGATCTCTCTATCCATAGGGGAATAGTGCTCTGGAGCCGTGTTATATCAGTTTCACTGGGACCAATGACAAGGATACGCTCTTGCTGAATTTCCTTTCTCCTGGAAAACCATTTTGTTGAGATGTTCCGCGTCTTCTCTTGTAACAGATTCCGATTCTCCGCTTCTGAACCTCCATTAATCACGCATTTGGTAGGTTTATTGACTAGGAACGCCAAATCCTTCTCGGCGAGGAATTGGGTCTCCCCGCTCTCCAAGGCTGGAGATGAATACAGTGGTGCCACAAACCTATTATGTGTGTAGAGAAAAATAATAATACATTTTAAAATAAATACTGATTAGCAAAACACAGTTACATTCGAATAAATGCACAAAGTGTGAGATGGTACTGCACAAAACACATCGTAAAATTTGTTGGATGAAATATTCATGCTGAACTGCAGCAATGGCCACTCTCTCATATTAGCCTTTTGTGTTAAATGGCTGCAATGAAATGCTCTCAGCTGAAAGTGCGTCAAAATCAAGCAATTTCTTCATTCAGCACATTGACTGCCCGTGTCCAGTTAAGTAGTCATTAATGAAATATTGTCATATTGGGATTGGCGTGGGATGGGCAGTCTAGTCTTAGAGGTAAAACAGTTTTCCAGCAGTTCATCATTATGTGTTACCCAAGGGAAATACAGGATAACTTTTAAATACTTAGGATATTTCTAGCACAGAATGTTTTAATTTAGAATACCTTGCATGGTACAATATTTTCCTTTAGTAACTGTAATAAAAGTATCCACCCCCCCCCCCCCAGCATTAATACATTCTTGGACTCTTCAGCATAGAATTAAAAACTGAATGAACGAATCTGGAACAAGTGATACAAATAAATACTCAGCTTTCATAGATATTTTAAACTAGCTACTCGCTACCTCGCAAACAAACTCACTATGATCGCGCCTTCGGCGCTCCATTCACTTGGATAGTGATCAATTCATTTATACTTTGCGAAATTGCAAACACGTATTTTACGTACGACTCCATTAAAATACGTGACATATAGGGACGAAATTCTTCATTTTTATCAAAATCATTACTTCGATTATTTCTAGTGTGCCTAATTTGAAATCGTTTCATGTGTCCCTTTTTGTAATGGTGGAGAATACATTTTGAAATACTTCCCTCCTATAATGTACGCTAAGGGGACATATTTCACATGTAGAATTTTCCTGCACTCAGCAATCAAGCAGGTACATCTGAGGGAATTTTAAATTTACTATCTTTTTTTCGTTGGGTCAAAAAAAATTCAGGAAAATGGGATTGTAAGAAAGTGCCCTGATTGGTTTTAACGAAAACTTTATTTCTACTGAAATGTAAACTCATGGAACTCCATGCCACCCAGTTCCAGCCTAATACGTTTCCTATTTTTGCTTTCGGGAAAAAATGTATTTAGAAAAGCGACAAACCCAATAGCTGTGCTCTGAGGAGACGCACACCAAAAGCTGAATTTTTCCTTAAATCAACATCACGTCCCTTATGCCTGCGCCGGCTGCACCTTTTATAATTCTGCCCGATTCGCTGGGATATGAAAAATTCTTTGAAAACTTTACTTCGCGAAGAAATTTGTCCCCCACCCAAAAAAACCTGTATATATATATTTTTTTTTAATTTTTTACATTTGACAGTTGAGCTCAGTGCGTCAGCAGCAACGTTCTTGCCAGGTTTCAGCTTTCCATGTCTCTCCGTTTCAATGACGCAAGAAAAAATATTATTTGAAAATGTGTTCCCCGAAAAGGTATGGCATGTACCACCAAAGTAGAATTTTTCCTAATCTCAGCATGCGAATAGCGACTTAGGTCAGTCAGCTACTCACGATCCTCTACATATAATAATAGTATAATTTTTTCTTTACTCAGCTATCCATCAGGTTCTTCTTGGCAAGTTTAAAGTTTCTAGCAGTCTCTGTTTTTGCAGGATCGAGAGAATACACCTTTTGCAATACATGTGCCCTAAGGCGTTTTAACGAAATGGACATTATATTTTACCGAAATCAATCGCCAGAGAACTACATGCCCACAAAATTTCAACTTCATACGTTTGCCATATTTGCAAGTGAAAAGACATGTTTTGAAAACCCGACGCCCCGAAAAGCTATGCCAGGAGGGGATGCACCATGATAGCTGAATACTCTTCAACTTAATAATAATAATATCATGTCACTTATACATGTGCCAAGTTTCACCTTTCCATTTCTGTCCAATTCGCCACGAAAAATTTTTTTAAACATCCCCCTCGAAAAAAATTCCCCCAGGTGATGCATGGAGACTTAACATTTTCCGTTAACTCCATGTCTCAGTAGGCACATTCATGCAAAGTTTCAGTATTCCATGTTCATCAGTTTAACTGATGCAAAAAAATTATTTGAAAACGTCTCCCTTTGAAAGTTGTGCCCCCAGGGTATTTACTTCCAAAGTCTTAATTTTTCTGAACTCTGCACTTGAAAACGGCGGCCCCAAAAATATGCCCCAGGGCATGGATGTAAAATTCTGCATTTCTCCTAAACTCATCGTGTCAGTAGGAACGTCCATGCCACGTTTCAGCTTTCCATGTCTCTCCGTTTTATTGAAGCAATGGGACATGGAAGGCAAGAGAAATGAAAAAAGGTATGGATTGGTTAGGAATTGAACCCAGACCTCACGATTACCGGTTCGATGTGCTACCACTACACCACCGAAACGGTGACAGACAATGGCATCTTTCGATGACATCCTTATCCATCACGATATATATTTTTAAAAGAAACTTCTCCCCCCCAAAATGTGTACCCCCAGGGCATGTACCTTCAAAGTCGGAGTTTTTCTGAACTCTGCACCCCAAAAGGTACATGTGTACCAAGTTTCAGATTTCTAACCTTTCTGGAACATGGTTAGAATTAGCGTCAGTCAGTCAGTGAGTCAGTCAGTCACGATCGTCTATATATATTGGATAGCCCTGTTCAGGGAGTTATTATTCAGTGACATCTCATACTTGATCCTATAATTTATTGCATCAACTGGAGGACATCAACAGATTTCTTTATGGGACACAAATTTTACTCATTCATTGACCCATCCCTTGTAGCACATACTGTAACATTGAAACAACATTGATTCAACGTTTGTTGAGCGTACGGATGTTGAATCAACGTTGAATCAATATGGTTTCAGTGTTATGTACTACTAGGGATGTTGTCACACTTTCAAATTCTTTTTTAGTTTAGTTATATACCATGATGGATCTTTCAAAATCGGAAACTGTAAGCCTATCAATTGTTGGAAAACCTTATTTATGACAAAAACATATTCCATCTTCAAGACAATAACCAATTTTGAAAGGATAGCTGCCAGGATAATCACGTTTATAGCGTCATATCGAATCTTTTCTTTAGGAGTTAGCATTCATCTGGCTCAATGTGACATGGAAATTTCAATATTGAAAGAACATGCTGCCGTGGTTGAGTGGTCGTGTGTTCATAATAATTTGAGTGAGGTTTTTTCTATTTGATCGCTGTATTTTCCTATTATGAGCAAGAATAATATGAAACGTTTGAATTAGGGTACTTCACATTATTCTGGTATGCCTATAAAAATCCTGATATTAACCTTTGGAATGAATTTCTAACCATTTTTATTGCTCGTTAATTTCGAGTGATGAGAAAAGAGCCATTTGAGCATAAATATATCTGCATTGGAAATATCTTTCCAGATTAAAAACTCAGAATTACTTACATCGCCAAAAGAGTGAGGTGGACTTCCGGCTTCATGGTGAAGTCCATGGTGACCTTGAGATTTCTGACACGTTCATTCCACCAAATCTGAAACTTGTCTTCGGAGCATAACTCCTCTTCATATAAAATAAGGAATTTTTCGGGCTGCTTCTTTCCCTTGTGAACACCAGGAAATGCGACGATGGGAAAATGAATGGAGAAGCACTCATCGACCTGCTTCTTTTTCAAAGCGCCAGCAATTCCCATCAATCCTTTGAGTTTGGTCAAATCCCTCATCGCACTCTCACATCTTTGCTTCACGGGTAGGAATCTCCTATCGTCCGTTTCTCCCCGTTGCTTCTCATTTGAGTAATAGACCTTTACCAGTAACAAGCCCCGGCGCTGATCCACCACAATTATGTCATGATCGTCTTCTTGGATTTTTTCCAAACTCTCATAGAGCCCACCAGAAAAACGACATTTCACCATTTGCTTTATGTCCCGGCTGTAGATGATGATCATGGACTCCCCATTCTTCAACTCCTCGTTCTTCTTTCCCAATTTGTACAGGAAGTGCACGAGCGATGGTTTACTTTGAACGCAGATTGGTGGCACAACCCTCGTCGTATTCTCCCAATCTGGAAACGTTTTCCCAATGAAGTTTTTCGCATCCTCCAACCACCTTTCACTTTCACGTGACATAACTATGAAGAACTCAACTGGATTCAGTACCCAGCAAACAAGACTGCTCGGAACGAATTGAATAAAAGAAACCGCTTTGTTAGACAGATCGGAAACACAGGAGACCGAGTCACACTGGCGGCAGGGAGTCACAGTGACTAACATAACACTGGCTGTTCTGTTATCTTATCTCATCCATTCTACGTGAAACACGATAAAAACGTTCTCAATTATGCCGCTTGACCTTCAGCACATATATCTGCCAGGTGAACCTCCATTTTGCTGACCATACACTTCGTTCTTAAATTAGGTAGAATTGTAATAAATGTCCCCATAATTATCATTGTGAATGAATTTTCTGCTGGCGAGGCAAAGGTTGCATGTTCCTCTTTTCCTTGTTTCTTCCATGTGCCTCACAGGTGAGGCTCCTCACGCAAACCAACTCGCAACCTTAGGACTTTCTGCACACGCTAGTGTAAGTGAATCTGATGTCTTTATGAGCGGTTCCTGGTCATTTCCCGGAACGATCAGTTTCCCGACAGTCAATTGATCTAATAAGATTACTGTTAGGTCGATAGGGCGATTGTTTCGTGACGTTTCTCTCGGTCACTTAGCGTCGATCGCTTGTCTTTGTGGTCGTTGGGGACTGCTGGGATCGTCGTGGCTTGCTAGGGGCCTGCGAGGTCACTCCTCTTCTCGGTGCCTAACTCACCGGTGTCCTTTATTTCTCCCCTACTGATCATCTTTAATCGCTTATTTTTAATCAGCTTGCGGCAGTTCCGTATCTTTTCCGTTCCATTTAATGTTGGTCCGACTGGTACCATAAATCTATCTATACAATAACTTAACTGTGACAATTTACATAAATTAGACATATACACCGAGATGCTTCCGCGCCATCTCTAGGCGTCTTAAGATCTATTTTACTTACTGCTACCGTGATAATACCTTAGACGAAACTTGAGGAAAAGACGAATCTGATGATTCGAAGCACGGAAGGGTTTCTCTCATTAGAATTTCCATGGTTAGATATTGTCGTGATCATCCCTCCTGATGATCATTCGGCTAACTCCGCACCCCTTCTGCTAAAGCCGCAACACTCTTCTGGGGATTTCGCAACCCTTACTTCTTCCATGCCCTTAACTTTGGCAATCATTGATAATGGTTCTTCCCATGTTCAGAGTTACCAGGCGTTTAGGTATGAAGTGCAAAAAAAATAAAATGCGACTAAAGAAGAAAATGAGCAGGGACAGACGGAGGATGTAATTGTAGTATAACAAGCTTTTTTAGAGAGCACTTTTGCAGAAAACATTTCCATTCCTTTCACCATTAATTCTATTTATCAGGTAGGGTTGCTCTATTATTTGTGCCATTGTCTCGTGTCTTTTCAGAGATGAGCAAGGAGGCAGACCATTAATTGACATCTGGACATGAGAGAGACTGGGTGGCATTCGATTTTTGGCCATCATACCTGAGACAGAAATAGCGTCATTTGAGCAGCAGTACTCAGATTAGGACTTCACTAGCATCTGAATTTAGGAAAATTCATTAAGAAGGAAATTTATTCACGGAAGAGATAGTGCAGTCAATCGCCCTCCATCCGCCGCCGTAGGTACGCCGAAGAGTGGCATCGGGGAATTTACCAATCAGGGAATTGACTGTCGGGGGCACCTTCATGAACTGTATCGGAAATTTGCAGTCGGCGCTAACAGTTTTTAAATGATTTACCATAGTTTAATAGCTTGCAGAGAACTTTAAGATGTCACATTACTATCAGTTATGTGATATCATTGAGGAATATTAGATTTAACAATATTGAATTAACATTTATCGTCGGTAAAGCAGTCCTAAAGTAATTTCGCACTTTCTGGGGCTTTTTCAACTGGTTTCGGAGAGATTTAATTATTACGTCATTTGACTTCCAGCAGGACCAGTGGATGACAATTCAAAGTAGGCCGCCTAATGAGCTTTCAAGAACCAAAAAGGCCCCACCATTGACTCTACATCAGACAGAGAAGCTGAAGCCATTTTCCAAGCTTGTCCGGTCACGAATTCCTCGACGGGGGAATCGGGTTTCGGAATGCCGTCGTCTCATCGATGTTGGGGGGGGGGGGGAAAGATTGCCTTCGCCAACCAGTTTATTTATTCTTTGCAACTCTCTCCCTAAAGAGAGTAATATATCCTGGAGGGGATAACGCTTGTGTGAAAAGCCCGTGGGTCCTTCCAGACGAACTCGACCGATATTAATGCCCACACCCCTCAGGGGCCAGCGTAGCAATCGAAATAAATAAATAAATATGTACAAACATTCTCAGAGTCAGGGGGGAAAACGTATTTTCTAGCACCCCGCGTCCTTGAAAGTCCATTAGCACTCAGGAGACGAAGTCTTCTGTCTCTTCCTGTTCATAGAAATACATAGGGGGAAAAGGAGAGGGAGGGAGAGGGACGTCCTCCCCAAGGTCGAACACGGCACACACACGTCTCCTCTTATCGGGCGTGTCACTTCAAGGTAATTGATCCATTGTTCGTTTCTCGACTTGTTTCCTCCTCGTGCTCGTCTGAACTTGACTGAACTTGAAGGGAATTATGAAGAGTGATGACTTGCGAAATACGATTTCATATCGGTGTTAAAAAGGACAGGGTCGGGGGACGGGGAAGGGGAGGGGAGGACGGGTGGAGAGCGACGGGGCACTTTCTGCCCTACGGGTCCCGTTCGTTGAAAGAGAAACAGAACGCGAAACACTTCGTCGACAGCCCGAGAAAGCCCAGATGTCGACAGCCCGGAAAAATTCACGGCGAATAATGGGAGAAAGATGCCTTTGCCGAAAATGGGAATCAGTCCCGATTCGATACACTGGCTGTCGCGAAGTCGGTCGCTTCGTTCTGGTCACGTTTGTGGTGTCCGCAGTGCGTTTCTCGGGTTCATCTGAGGAAAGCGTGAGAGATGACAAAGAGAAGTGCTCCGTTTCCTCGACCTTACTCCACTTTGTCTTCGACCCTGTGGCTTTTTCAAAGTCGCTTTCTTCCATATCCAGGCATAGGATTGAAAAATCTCGGGACTAGCTACTGAACACTAGCGAATAAACAAGTAAGCTCCAGAGTGTCGACGCTTAATTCCAACAAGCTAGGAACCAACCTAGGAACTCGCATACAAACGAAGCGCGCAGGCAAGGAAGTAACGGACAGAAAAACGAATTCGAGAAAAACCTCTAAACATGGGGGGGAATCGAGCATCGGAGAATGCAAGGGCGAAAACGCGACCGGGTTTATTTTGCTAACGAGTCTGTTCGTTCAATCCGGATGGGAATCTTGGAAATTCCTATCTGAAGGAAGCAAAGCGAGGAAGCTCTCTCTCGTCTCCGGCGTCATCGCATTCAACTTCTCCAATGCATCCATAAGCATCGTGGCGATGTTGTCGATGCGATCTCGCGTCGCGGTCATTAAGATCTGGGGGATGGTCCGCGACGTGAAATTGGGGAGGATCGCCTGCAAGAGTCGCTTCACGCCCTCGCCTGCTAGAAGGTCGAGCGTCTTCGAGAGAAATTCGCTGCCGGGATCTGAGGCGAGTTCGAAGACGAACATGTAGCACGTGCTTCGGGTCGAGGCCAGGTAGATGGCGGGATCCAAGATGGACGAGGTGATGAAACCCGCGATGAGGAAGACGACGTTGGCCTCGAGTCCCTTCAAGGCCCACGCGGTGTCGACGACGACGTCGCGTTTTCGCGTCTTCGGATCGCTCGCCCTCCGACCGCACAATTCCCTCGACAGCGTCTCTCCCCCGTACTCGGTGTACATGCCCTCGGTTTCGTAGAGAACGGCGACCGAGAAGTCGAGGGGACCCGGGAAGCAGTCGTGGAGGATTTCCATGATCTTCTGCACGACGGAATCCGAGTTCCGACTGCTCACTTGCAGCCTTTGGATCTCGGGTCCCCTGAACCGGTGGCCCATGCCGATCTTGCTCGCGTCGTATAACTCCGGAGGGACGTGGTATTCCGAATGGCCGCTGTCGTTCGACGGGGAATGCAAGGTCTTCCAGTGCTTCAAAACGGCCTCTGGATTTCGCATGACCGAGTACAGTTTCTCACCTTTCTTGATGACTTCGTAAAAGTCGCTCTCTCGTTTCATCGACAGGTCGTGATACATGAGATCGACCGAGTAGCAGAAACATCCTCGCGGTTCTTCCTGAAGGGCGCGCAGGGCGTCCAACCAGACGCCGCCGTACCGAAGGAAGAGGTCCTCCGCTTCGTCCACGAACACGTGGCGAAATTTGGCGCGGAAATTCTTCGTCGTTTCCTTCAGGGTCTCCAGCTCCATCCCCGAGGCTTTTCTCATCACATCTGGGGAACTCAAAACCTTCTCCGTTGCGATCAGTAACGGTTTCAAGATTTCGAAGAACGTGAGGAAGACGAGACGATTTCTCGCCAGATCGCAGGGAAGTTCGATCCTGTCCGACACGGGAACGTTTAATCTTCTAACGAGGTCGGCCAATTTATCGACAAGGAACACGAGGGGCCCCACCCTCTGGTTTCTTCCTCCCGGTCCGCCTTCCCTGGATCGACTGATGGATTCTTTCACCACTGCGAGGGTCATTCCCGGGACTTTCCCCAACAGCGAGAAATCCACGGATCCGATCGGTTTCGGGGGTTCGAGAGAGACCCGATTCCTCTCGGCGTCTATCGCTTTCGCCTGCCGTGGGAACATTCCGAGAACTATGTCGACGAGTCCTTTAGAGGCTCTAAAGGCGTCGGCCAGCACCACTTCCTCGAAATGGGATTTGGGGGTCATGGACCAATCGTGAGGAATCAGAGAGGGGTGAATCCAGGGTTCGTCTTCCCCTTCGATCTCGGACAAGTAAACGAAAAGGGGAACGAGGACGTGCTCGATCAGCATTAATAACAATTTTACATCTTCATCCAGTATTCCCTCTGCAAATCCGTGGATGAGGTTCATGAGCGATTGGAACAAGCGGTCTGGCGAGGGGGTGCTCCACCAGGAGGAGATCCGATCGATGAGATCCACGA